TTTAAAAAGATTGTTTTATTTGTGCAAAATTTTGAGATTATTTTGCAAATTTTTTTAAAGTATAAAAGAAATATTCATTTATGATAAAAAATGAAACAAAAATAAGTACAAATAGTTTTATTTGTGCTTGCTATTTTTACATTTATTATAAGCTAATTTTTGATAATAAAACTTATTGCTAAGTATAAAAAATTTTGTAGTTTGTTTTTTGTTTTTTTAAAAATGAAGAAATATAAATATTAATATTACTTGAAAAAGACGTGGTGAATTATCTTCTATAACGTTCTGCAAGCTGTTACAAAAAATACTTGGAATTTTTTTTTTGATTGCTTCATTTATCATAGCCTAGAAATTATCAAATAATTCTCTAGTTTAATTTTTAAAAAATTGTACTGAACATTGACTAAGCTTTAATTTTTACATGCTAAAAATTGGAGCAATTTTGATCAGTGAAGTATTAATTATAATGAATTTTTGATACTTACAATAATTCATAATAAAAGCAAATGTAATTAATTGAATAATTGGTAATTCTCATTATTAGAATAAATTTACTACAATAATCAATGCTATTTTTTAAAAAACAAAAGTACGAAGATATAACTTGATAGTTTTTTATATTTTAATTAAATAAAAAAGAAAAAATTTGCATACTTCAATAGTTTTTACAAAACCGCTAAGTATCCCATCAGCACTAATGGAAAAATGGCTGTAAGGAACAATAGTGGAGCAGTCATTAACCTGAAAAATTATTTGCAAACTTAAACGCAAATTTTTTTCTAAATAAATAATGGAAATAAAGCGATAAAGTTTGTCTACAATATACTTTCACTGATTTTTTAAAAGTTTTGTATACATTACCTTAACTTGCATTAAACCATCAGGCGCTGTTCTGAAGTGAATTTTCAAACGAACGGTCATTCGTCGAATGTCACCGATGACAGAGCCTGTGATTGGTAATAATGCTACCATACCACTGAATCGTCCAGCTAAACTAAAATTTTCCAATATTTTGCGCAAATTTCAAGTTATTAGAAGCTGAATCATGAAATTTATCACAAATTGTAATTAAGTATGGCTTCTTAAAATAATAAATTTTTGAAATCGTATGCAAAAAACTAATGATTCAATGTATAACAATCAAATAATATGAAATTGAATAAATACATATTTTTACAAATGCATACAATAAAGGACACCATGTAAAATGCTTTACTTTGATTTATTTTTCAATTTTCACGCATAAATTTGGAAAAAAAATTAATTAAAAAATATTACGTGATACCCATCCCGTCTAGCTGTAGAATCACGTAAGACGGTGGAGCCAAGTCAATTGATGTATATTCAGGTGGTGAATAACCCAACACATTTACGTCATAAAGTTGCACTGTGCCTGTTATACCTTAAAAAGAAATAATAAATTATATCTTATATACTAAATATGCTTTGTATTTGTTAAGTTTAGAATAAAAAATTTTAAGAAACATAAAAAACCAACCATGTTCATAAAAGGAATGTTGAGTTTGAAAGCCACTTAATTTTGGAATTTCTTCATTTAAAATTTTTACACCAACTGATTTTACATGTTCAGCACCGAATTTTGTTAAACGAATTTTCACTGCTGGCCAACCTAAATTTTGAATTGAAGAAACTGCTGTAGAAATTAATAAATTGTCTATTTTGTGTAAGAATTCAAAAATTACAATGTAAACAAACTCAAGTACAAAAACAAAGCTATACTTAAAAAAAATAATGTCTAAAAAATCATAATTTCCAATAAATAACAATTATTTACATTAACTGTCAATAATAATATGTTTTGATTTTTTGTATACATTACTGAGAATCTTATAAACTTCACTGTAACTTTTTAATTTTTTTTTTGAACTTCAATTGTAAGATAGTATTGGAATTTTAATAGTTTAATATAATATTACAAAAAAATCAAATTTTTATTTTTAAAAAATTTGAAATATCATATTTAAAAGTAATTTTTAAATTTGTGAGCTTTATTCGTAATAAAAATTACAATGAAATAATTGCATTCAAATAAATTATCTCATTAATTTAATCAATAATATTGTAATAAAAAATAATGATCGAAAATTTTTGCTTAATAATTTAAAATGCAAATTATGGAATAATTTAATAATAATTATTCAATGCTGCAAATTAACAAGCTATAATACTAAATATTTAAAATTGTAGGAATAAATTTTTGTATAAAAAAGCACAAAAAAATTATAAATATTTAATATGAACTTTTATAAAGCAAAAATTTATAATAGTATTTGTTTGTATAGTAATGCAAAGTAAATATGAAGTATTTTACCTGGTGGATTGTTCCATTTTGATGGTTTATCAAAAACAATACGACTCAATACTAGTAAAGGAAATAAAAATGCAATAATTTGCTTAAATAAAATCATTAGGTACTAATTTGTAGCCCTCCCAATCTTACCCAATTTTCCCTACTTAATAAAATTTTGTCTAAAACAATTTATCCAAACGACTGCTGGCAATATGTAAACGATTTTATAAATGGTCAGTTGCAGTGATGACAATAACAACAATAACAATAACAACAACAACAACAACAACAACAACAGCGATAATGATGGTAATGATGATGATAATCTTCAAAAAATTTAGAGTGAGTATCCACTTGTTCCATGAATTGTTTGACAAATTTGTTGCTGTGGAAATAGTTCACATAGAATAATGTCTCTCTTTACTCTTCAAAAATTAAAATCCTTTCTTATTTTCAATTCTACTTTTAATGTAATCATTGTTATCATCACTTCCTTTTTTTTTATCACATTGTCATCAGTATTATTTTCTATTAATATCATTACTTTTACATAAAATCATTCTAATTTTATTTTTCATTACATTAATGGTATGAAAATTACAATATCATCCTGACAAACAAATTAACCATAGGAATTAAAATTGGCATTTGTTAATCCCTTTAAAATAATAGAAACGCGCCATTTCTTCCTGTTCATAACAAAAGATTTTCTGCTTATCTCATATCAGTCGTATCTATCTTCAAAATAAGAACAGAACTCAACTAAATAAGAAATGAAAGTATTATATGATAATAGTGATACAAAATGCATGAAATCTAAATTATATATCAGTGATTTTCAACAATTACATATTGTGTAGCAGCACTATCATTACTATCATCGGTAGTATCATTATTATCAAATTACTATTGTCATAATAATTAGCAAAAACTTTAATAAAAATTAAACTTTATCATGCTGATTAATTAAAACATATTTTTCATTCAGCCTTTCTTCTGCTAGAAGTCAACATCATCAAGAAAAGGCTTCACATGCTTTAATAAATATAGCCTGAGTTATTGCAATTTTTGTTTCAATAATTTAAAAAAATGCTAATTTTTTACTAAACAATAAACAACTTGAAACTATTAGTCAAGAGTAAAATTAATATAAATTAAATTAACTTGAAGAGATTTAAAAATTTAGATGGAAACAAAAGCTTGTTTAACTTTTAATTATTCATTTTTAAATAATTGAAAAAAGAAGCTAAATATAATGTGAAAAAAGAACAGTTATCAGTGATATCAGACATTAAGTAATCAAATTATCAGTATGAGTTTTCATGAGCTTTATCATAAATGAATGAAATGCCAATGTTGAGAAATGTTGCACGCATAAAAAGGAGATCAATCTTGACTTTCGATCAAAAATTTTGGCAAATATGGTAATTGAAATTGATTTGATAGTTTCTTTCAAAATAAGATCAGAAAAATCCATTATGTCCTATTTTTTTCATGATATTTATTTATTGAAAAAATAAATTTTTGATAGAAAGAGTTAAAATAAAACCAGTAAATATAAATTGTAAAACAAATTTTTTTATTTTTTACCTGAACAACTGATCAATCTATCACCAAATTCTTTGCATAATCAGTACATGTTAATTTGGCAATATATGAAAAGAAACTTTTATGCAAATACAATATTATTATTTATTATTATTGATTGATTAATTTATCATTATTATTATTATTATTATTAGTAGTAGTAGTATTATTACCACTTATAATTATAGTAATCATATTTTGCTGGACTTATTATTTATTAAACAAATAAAAGACATTAAACAAAAATTTTTACCACCTGTCAAGTAGGATGGTGACAATGATGATAACGATAACGATAATAATAATAATATAAATAATAATAATAATAATAATGAAAATGAATAGCACAAGTGAAAAATCTGAAATCTTCAAGAAACTGCGACTCACTGGCAGCAGTTGAATAATTATTCTTATCTTGTCTTTCAGCTAAATGTGAACATATATTTGCGTGTATTCATACAATTTTAATATGATTATTTACAAGGCTAGATGACTGACAAGCTTATCTAAATTGCATTTCAGAAGTTTTAGTTCGTTCAGCTTTTAGTCAGTCAGTTTGCCGGAAACTGTTTTTTTGAAAAAAAAGAAATGAAATGAAATGAAAGAAAAAATTTAAAGTTGAAAAGAAAAAGGTTTACTTTAAAAAAAAAGGCGTCATTTGCTGAAGAAAAGTTCACTTCATCGTATATCCATCTTTTCAGTGTATTATTTCTCACTCAAACTTAGGTAACAATATTCTAAGAAGTTAAAGCTAACAATTAAACGTAGAATTATAATATAAATGTGCTAGCTAAAATTTAATATATAATAGATTAATAAATTTTGACTTTTACTAGTTATAAATAACTTACTTATTTTTGAGAGTGAAAAGCATTAAAATTTGCTTGCTTATTCCTATAATGATCTACATTTTCGTTGTAACGGAAGCTGTTGAATGATTAGTTAGTATGAGTAGTTTGCTTGTGAATTTAGAAAAATATTCATATACTTTTTTCAGCATACTTATTTGCTTGTTTATATACTTATTTATAATTTATATCTTACTTTTTTTTTTCATTATTTTATATTAGACTTTGATAATTATGCTGATATGATATGATCATTTGGCATTTATATGTGTGTCAAATTCTTCTGATAACATATTGAACTTCACTAATTCTTCAAAAGCTATCAAAAATAGCTAACATTTTTTAATTTCTTTTCAAAAATTTCAAATAATAATATTTATAATTGCAGTCACTGGAAAAAATTTATTTTTAAATTTTCAAAAGATTGAAAATTAATTTGTTAATCAGAATTAAGCAGCAAGAAAAAGGAATAATAATTTTTTGCTAATAATAAAACTCTAATAAATTTTACAATCCCAACAATTTGTGCAACTTCAAAATACAATATACTTTTGTAATTTCTACTAATGTTTGCTAGCCTCATTTTATTTTCACACTATTTCTATTTTATTATTTTGCATTTTTTGTTAAACTTAATATAATTTCACAGTACAATTTTAAATATTACAAGATTATTTGTAATAACAAGCCAAATCAGTAGCAGTTTGCTTTCTTTCAAAATTTTCTTGCACTTTTTAAATCTTAAAGTTTTTTAAACACCATAAAATATACTTATTTGTATTTATAATAATTTTTCATTTCAAATAATATAGAACAAAGTTATTCTGTATTAAATTAAATATCCTAATTATTCTGTATTAGATTAAATAAGTGTAGAAAAATAAGGGTTTTTTTTTTTTTGGTAAATTATGAAGTATAGTTTTTATTTTGTGATTAATCAACCGTTTTGCGCAATTAATCTTTTAGTAAAATGAAATCTTTCAGACCAATTTTTATTTTCATTCTTTTGGTTTTGTGCCATTCACATCAATTGTCTGTTGTCTGTCTTAGAAGTACTGTAAAGCACGTCGATTCTACAATAACATATCAAATTATATTATACTGAAAATGGGATCAACTGCATTTAGGTTAGAATGCTATTGTCATCATTACAGAAACCAATCTGTTTGTACTATCATGACAACAAAAGTATCAAAAAAAAAAAAAAAGAGTAAAAGCAAAAATAAACAAATTATGAATAATTATTAAAAATCTAGCTTTTTGTCTTTTTTAAATTTTTTAGTTTTATTATTACTTGTTGTTTAAATTTTTATATAAGTTAATACTTTGTTTGATTTTTTATTTGTAGAAAAATTTTACCGAAAAAAAAAACGAAAAATTTTAGATTGCTTGAAGTGCCAATAGCACATCGTGAAACAACAACAAATAATTTTCAAACAACAATTTGGATTAATGATCCGGATACTGTCTTCCGTCTTGCAACAGTTCTCGAAGAACGTAATGAAAAATTACTTGTTGGTTTTCGAGACGAGAATGGCTACTATGAAAAAGTTGAATTTTTTTGTTATCTCATTAATTAGCATAAGTATAAACATAAGTATTAATTTTTACTATCATGCATAATGGAATAAACTTTTGTTCATAACTTTATCTATAAACTATTGTAATGATGCGGATATCAGTGAAATCAATATTTTTAGCTGACTGTACCCAAATCTGAAGTACAACTTTCAAGTACAACATATTTCGTAGACGATATGTGCAATTTAAGTGAACTTAATGATGCATGTGTTCTTCAAGTTGTTCGCTCACGTTATCAAGCAGATCTAATTCATGTTTGTTTGACCTCTGACTTTTTTTATACAAATGCATTTTCTGATTGAATAAGCTTTATTTTCAATAAAAATAATGATCTTTAGTTTAATTCGCCCTAAGCATATTTTTTTTGCAATTAAAATTTATTAAGTTATATTTTTTAATTAAGAACAGCAAAGATGCAAAAATTTGCAGACTTATTCGGGTCTTTTTTGTCTTGTTGTGAATCCATGGAAAAATATACCAATTTATACAAAAGAAATAATGGAGGTTTATATGAATACTATTGATAAAGGCTATAACTTACCTCCTCACGTTTATGCCGTAGCACAATCCGCTTACGATGGCCTTCTAAGTGGTAGTAATCAGTCTATTTTGATAACGTATGCTATTTCAATTTTATTATTATTAATTTTGAACCAAGTTCATAAAATATTATTATATCAATCATCATATTATCACAGCAACTCAAAATCATTAAGTAGAAATTTGATTAATTGCTAACAAAATCATTTCGAATTAATCATTCAATTGTTTGCAAGCAGTAAAGTATGTATAGACTCATCTCCAATTGAGAAATAATTTTATGAGTTCAGGCCTAAACTATAAAACTCCAACTGTTAAAAATGAGATTGAACACTGAACGAGAGTAAAATTTTTCTTGGATGTTTTAATTATGATCCAAAAAAGTAGTTCAATTCCAATTGTTTATTGCTATTAAATAACATAATAAACTAAACAATCATCGCTTTATTAAAAATAAGTTGATATTTGAGTGATATATGATTAATTAATAAATTTAAGAGGTGCTAATCATAAGAGAAAATGTGTTTCAAAAGTCTAACTTTTAGTCTTAACTGACATTGTGATGTAATAAGAAAATTTCAGCACTTGCTTTAAAACTTACAAGATTCAAGCTTTAAAGCAGTTATAAAAGTTTTGGATTTAAATTGAAAAAGCAAATTAAAAAGTAGTTTAATTTTAAAAAATGTTCAAAATTTTAAACAAAAATGTAATTTGAATAAATTGAAATTAAGAGGTGAAAGTGGCGCTGGTAAAACTGTAAATACAAAACGGATAATCGAATATCTTGGAGCAGCTTCTGAATGTCGAAATGGATCGTTAATATCCGGTGGTATAAATGAAAGACTTAGTGCAGCTGGAATTATTATTGAGGCATTTGCTAATGCATCAACAATTCATAATAGTAACAGTTCTAGACTGGTATATAAATATTTAATAATTCTTTTTATACATTAAAATAAATTTCAAAATAAGCAACTCTTTCTATATTTTTTTAAAATAAGTTTTCAACTTTTAAAAAAATGGAAAAAATTGAAATAATAAAAACATTTTAATGATAGAAAAAAATAAATGCAAGTAAAAATGAAGTACTAAAACTTTTTGAAAGTAAATGAATTTGTTAGTCAATATGAAAATTTGACTTCATATAGAAATTTTATTCAAAAAAAATTTCGCTCTGAATGAATTAATTTGCATATTTAGCAATTTTTCGTTTGTATTTGTAGGGAAAATTCATTCGAATGGATTATGGGGATGATTTGATAATGAAAGGGGCTCAAATTCAATTTTGTTAGTTGTTTGTTCTATTGCATATTTACATTTTTGACACTTTTAGCAAATTTCCAATCATAATAGTTTTTTCATTTTGCATTTGCTTTTTTTATTTTTAAAATTTTTGACATAATACTTCTTGAGCAAATTTTTATTTCAGTACATTATTTGCAAATTAAACTTTTATAATTAGTATTATAATTTAATTTGTTCAGCATACATTTCTAATTATCAATGCTTTTTTAAATAGATTTATTGGAAAAATCACGTGTGGTGAAACAAAATGATGGTGACCGTAATTTTCACATATTTTATCAATTATTATCAGATGGTTTTGACAAAAATTTACGTCATTCAATGGGCTTAACACAGAAATCAAATGCATATCGTTTTTTGAATCAGGGAGATAAAACTGTAGATCCAGAAGTGAACGATATTCAAGGTCTTGCTGATACTTTGGTGAGTTACAATATTGTATTGTGAGCAAATATTTTATAAATTATTCTCTTTCTTATTGTTTACTTATGTAATTATATTATAAGAGAATAAGTATTTGAAGTTTTGTAGATGTGAAATATAAATCTCAAAAAGAAATTTTAATTTAATTCAATGAAATTTTTAGTTTATACAATTTTTAGCATGCTATGGAGATTATTAAATTCAGCAAAAATGAAATCATAGATATTTTTGAAGTACTTGCCGCTTGCATTCTTCTTGGAGAAATTAAATTTAAAGAAAGAAGTGGCTTAGATATTACTTATATTGATGGTGTGAAAGGTTAGCTTTGCTTAATTTTATTACTATTTACTGAATTCATTTTATTTGCTTCAATTTATGCTTTAAAAAAATGATTTGATCAGCTTGTTTTGTTTTAATTAATGGTCTAATTTTTTGGAAAGTATCAATGATTTGGTAGAAATGGCATGTTTTATAGAAATTCAAGCTGCTTGCAAAGTACTTGGTGTAAAAACAAGTAATTTTATTGATGCAATTACTCAACCATCAATAAAAGTTAACGATTTAGTAATCCGAAAAAATCAAAATCTTGCAAAGGTACTGAGATTTTTGTTGTATTGAATTTGGATTATTAATTAATTTATAAATAATAAAAATAAACATACAAATCAAAGTAACCAAATCTTCCACACACTGTTATAAGCATATAAACATAAATGTAACTTTTTTCAGACTCTGAGCTCATTATCAGCCTTATGTAAAGCAATTTACGAACGACTATTCAGTTGGATATTATCAAAATGCAATTTAGCACTGAGTGAAACATTTCATCGTAAGCAATTCTATTAGGCGAGTAAAGAAAATCTTTAATGAATACTTTTGAAATTAACCTTTCTGAGCACAAATGGTAAATTGAATTAAAATAGAAAATTCAAAAATTGCATCTCTTAGCTATTCGGTAATTTATGCAATTTTTTCAAATACATTAACAGATTAATCTACTTTTTCCTACTGTTCAGCTAGCAAATCAGTGCAAACGTATTACATTGGTGTCCTCGATATTGCTGGCTTTGAAATAATTAAGGTAACATATCATACTTATTTCAAATTAATCCTAATCAAAACTTGCGCAATTTTTTAAAATTATTATTCTAACTTTTTTTCGCTTATTAATTGAAGCTATAAAATTTCAATACATAGGAACTCATTATTTGTAAATTTTAACGGTGAAAAGCAGTAAGCATAATTAAGATAAGCTAGAAATTAAAAGTTTTAATCTTATTATTATAATTCATGTAACTAAATTATTGTACTTAAAACTCAAAAAAATAGTTATTATAACTTTCGAAATGCTTTATTGCATTGTTGAAATTATTTCAAATTATCAAGCATAATAAATATCATAGACTATTAAAAAAAAATTACCTGCTTTTATTAATTTGTTTTACAACTATAAAAGCAGATACTGAATAATTAAATAAAATTCTGGAATTGAAATACACTCATTTATAGATGAATAGTTTCGAGCAATTTTGCATAAACTATACAAATGAGAAGCTTCAGCAATTTTTTAATGATTTTATGTTCATTCGAGAGCAACAAGAATATTTAAGTGAAGGAATTGACTGGAGATATGCTGATTACGGTACTGATATGCAAAATACAATCGAATTCATTGAAAAAGTATTTTATTTAAAATTAACTTAAGATACAAATTAAAGAAATATGCTTAATTTAAAATGAGCCTTATAAAATTATAGTAAGAAATTTTTTTCACTACAACATTTCTGTTGAAATAATTTATTATGAATTACTTTAGTACTTTTTTCAAAAATTATCACTCAAACATTATTTATACTTTGAATAAAATTTTGTCTGATTTAAGCCATTAGGATTATTATCACTTTTACAAGAAGAATGTCTTGTTCCAAATGGCAAAGATCAATCATTACTTGAAAAATTGCTTTCAACGCACTCAAGTAGTCCAATTTTTGCTCGATCTAAGCAATCTGTCAGGTCGAATAAATTTATAATTTTTGTCTATATTTAATTCCTAAAACTTGTTAATAACTAAAACTTGATGTAAAGAAAACATTCTACAAAATATTAATTTTTAGTAGTAGTTAGTATAATTTTTGAAATTATTATTTTAAGCGTTAAATTGTAGACGTACGACAGTTTCACATTTTTCTATCACTCACTATGCTGGCAAAATACAGTACAATATTGATGGATGGGTGGAAAAAAATAAAGATTCTGTAGAAAGAAATGGCTTGGAAGTACTTGCTACTAGCACTAAGCCACTTTTAAGATTATTTTTTCCTCCCCGTAAGTTAAAATTTCAAAATATGGAATGATTTGTTTTACAGTCTATTTTTTTTACAGTCTATCATTTCTTTTACAGTGTAACATTTTTTATTGATATTAATATTTTTTTGTTCATTTTACTATATAAGGTAAAAAACCCATTTATATCTTACAATTAAGTAAATGAATACATAACTTAATCAATAATCTTATGTGAGAAAGATTAATACTATTTAAAAATTTGAATATAAATGTTCAAAAATGTTAGCTGAAAATTGAAACACAAATAATCAAAATTTCAAGTAAACTTGATTTTTGTTGTGTACTTGAAAATATAATTTTTTTTCCTCCAAGATTGCTTTAACTGTTAACATTTATAAAATTATAGTATGTGAAGAAAAATTACAATCAAAACGACAATCAAAAGGTGCAACAACCGTTTCTCATACGTATAAAGTGAAAATTTTTTCTTCATTAATAACTTTATTCACTTATTTCTGTAATTAATTAAATACTCAAATGATTTATCTATCTCTTTTCAAGTATTGTTATGTTAAGAAGTTACAAATTTTTAGGAACAATTGTTAAATTTAATGGACACACTAAACTCAACAATGGCTCATTTTATTCGTTGTATAGCACCTAACAGAAAACGATTACCGGGTATTATTGACTCACACCTTGTTTTTCATCAACTTAGGTAATGATTTCAACCATTGTTACAATGCATGAATTTTTATTAATAATACAAATCTAAATTTATATATTTTAAGATTATTAAAAAAAATTCAGTAGTTAACAGTGCAAAATTACAGATGTAATGGTGTATTAGAAGGAGTCAGAATATGTCGTCAAGGATATCCAAATCGAATGGCATTTGCTGAATTTGTAGAAAGATATCGAATTTTAGCCATTGATAAGGATAATGATTTAGGTCGAGATAGAAGTGCAGCTCAAAAATTATGTGAAAGTATTGAGCTTAATTCAGAATGTGTACAAATTGGCAAAAGCAAAGTTTACTGCAAAGTTGGAGTAATTTCAGAAGTATGCACTTCATTTTATGCAATATTAGAGAAGTTATTGTACAAAAGTTTTTTAAATTACTCGTTATAATATTTAGTTGCTTATTATTTCAGTTAGAAGCTCGTCGCAAAAATTATTTAAATAAGCTAATGTGCCAAATACAAGCATACATTCGATGGTATTTGCAACAGCAAAATTTTAAGCGATTACTACACTTGAAGTACTTAATTAATTATATGCAATCTTTTTTTTCTTTTTTTAAATAAAAATTTTAAAACATTTGATACAATTGATGTACTAATAATTTGCAGTAAACATTATCATGTCATTTATTAAAAGGTATTTAATTAATTTTCAGCCAAGCAACCGTAATAGTTCAGAAAAATGTTAGGAATTTTGCTGAAATTACCACATGGCGTTGGTATCGCATTTTGCTGGCAGTTAAAGAACTTATACCTTTGAATAAAGACAAAAAAAGATTGGAAGAATTATTGATAGAAAATGATGAACTAGTCAAGGTTGAATTAATTATAAGTGTACGATCTCAATGAAAATAAATTTGCATAATGTTTATTAGATTTCAAAAAAATTCATTTCAATTCATTTATGCATAAACTAATTATTAAATAAATGTTTTCTTTTCCTCTCGAAATTTATTATTAAACATATATAGAGTTATAAATTATTGAAATTGTTCTTATTTAATACAATAATTAGACTAATTTAATTTTAGAAAATTTGTATATTACAAAGTGAGTATGAGAACATTCAAGAAATTCTTCATCAAGCTCACAGCAGAATTATTCAAGTATGTGTAATTATTATTTTAACTGTGAATTTTTTTGAGGCTAAATATTTCACGAAGGTAGTAAAAGTAGTTTGTATCTTGAAGAGAATAAAAAATTTAGATTTATTCAAAAGAATAATAATTTTATATACATACAAATTTGAAAATTTTTTGATAATTTATTCTTTACTGTTTAGCTTGAAAATGACGAAAAATTGCATATTCAAAAAAGTGCTGAAATGAAAGAAGAAATGGCACAGCATGAAGAATTAATGGAAATAATGGAGAAACGCTTTGATGAACAACATGCTAAAGTTATGGTAAGGTAATTGTACAGTACTAAAGTACAACTAGAAGATCGTAATAAATTTAAGCAACTGTATCGAAACTTGTTGAAAATTTAATAATTTTCCGATAAGTTCATATAAAAACATTTATTTATTTATTTATTTATTAAGCAAATTTTCTTTTTCCAACATAAATTGCTTTCTTGCATAATGAGGAATCAAAGTTTGAATGGTCTCAATACTATGGAAATTTGAAGATATGATATCTTTTATATAAATTAATTTGTATCATAATATTTAATACAAGGTGCAAATTTGTGTATAAAACTAATTTGGAGTCTTCTATAAGGGCAATAACAATAAAAATTGTTTTCATAGTAAATAATTTTTTTTGTAGATTTAGGTTAATTTAAACTTTTAGTTTTCAAAATTAAAGATTTTTTCTATTAAAAGTTAAAAGATTTTTTTGAAGAAAAACTTTTTTGGTTTATTATTGTTTAGTTTTTATGATTTTTTTATCTTTTTTTCTTTTGTTTTAATATTTTTAGAGTGAAAGTTCATTAAGTCAAAAGTATAATAATTTTGTGCAAATAATTAACATAGTTTTAATTTTTCCATTTTAACAAAAAAAATCAGTCAATTTAAAGTAAATTTTTTTCTTTGTAAATTTTTTCAGACAAATGAAACAACATTTGTAAAAATGTTAGCACTAAAATAATATTGTTTTTGTTGCAGAAAATATATAGTTGTTTACGAGAAAATGAGAAAAAGATTGAACTTATGGAAAGCGAAAAAAATGAACTTGAAAGTCAGTTGTGCAAGGTAAAGTGTAAAAATTTATTTCTAATAATAATTCATCACGAGTGATTTGAAGAAAATTATACTACGAATGACCTTTGCTTCAATTTCCTAGCTTTTCAGGTTATCTTTTTATGAAACAAATCAACCAAAAGCTTTATTTGAAAAAAAACTTCACAAAAAAATATGCATCAAAAATAAAGATCATATTCAATTATCATAAAATAATAAAGACTAATTTATTATCTCATTAATTTTTATATGTTAATATTTTTCAAACTTTAGGCTATAATTATTAAATATCTGCAACATTGTCAGAATTGATAACTTCAGCATTGTATTACTTCACAGTAAGACAAAAAATTAAAAAAAAATTTTTTCCATTTCCTAATACTTAAAACAGTTATATGCATAATGATGAAGACTAACTTTAGCTCAGCCAAAAAAATGAAAGAGAATATGAACTTCGAAGAAAAGCTGAGCATGACTTGGAAATTTATGGAAGAAATATGCAAGAAATGGAATTAAAAATGGAATTAATGAATAAAGAACGAGATAGAGAATTAAATCAAGTGCAAGAGTGTGTTATGTTTATTTCAACTTAGAATTTTATTAATATTTAAATTTATTCAATTATTTCTACAAAACATCAAGTCTTTCTTTTCGCATTCATGAAGGTATACACGTAGTCAGTTGCTTTTTTTTTTACTTCATTACTTGCTTATATTTAAAATATTCATTAATCTTTTCAATCAAATTAACACTGAAAATTTACTTTACTACAAAGTATGTATTTTTTCATAGTAACGTACAATTTAATGATAGCTAAAGCAGACAATAACAATTTGCTGCTAACGAAAAAAAGCTGTGATTTATGTGTCTCAAATTACACTTAAAACTCATGTTTTTAATTTTAAATAGTGCGAGAATTTGTGTATAATGAAAGCAAAAATTTGTTTTCCTTTTATTTTTTTTTTCATTTTAAAACTATAAATTTACTGCAGTAAGTATCATCCATCCATCCATCTTTAAAAATAATACTTTTTAGTTTTCATTTTTGCAAAATTTCTATTCCAATTCATACTTTAGCAATAATTAAACTAATGATGCTAAAAATAGGTGCAAATTTTTCAATTTTTTCAGGATCAAAAAAATTTGCACTCATTTTGCATTATCAATGACTAGAATTCTCACAAGAAATAAGCTATAAAATATTAGCATAAATAATTTCAGGTTAAAGGACGAAGTTAAAAAATTAAATGGTCACAGTAGTCAGCAAGCAGATATTATTACCAACTTGCAACATTGTGTCATTGAATTGAATGTCAGTACTAAGTGCAAATATAAGTAGTAAATATGGTCAATTATAATTTGAAAAAATCCAAACTAAAAAAAAATAATTGAAAAATAGTCAGTTATTAATCTTATAACATTTATTAATTACTACAACAATCAATTACAACGTAAATAATGCTATTTAATTAGAATACGAACTAGCTAAAAATTGAAAAAGAATAGTGCAAAGTCAGTAAATCATTTATTCAAGTCTTTAACCAAATTTTTGATAATCTAAGAAGTGTAATAAAACGGCTTAATTTGTAAAACATTAATAATTATCAATTACTTATACTTATCAAAAATACTATCAAAAAAAAGCAGGTCAAAATCATTAGCAAAATCTTTGGAACATGTGACAAAAACTTTATTCAATTTTGTAATGTTTAAAATCTCTCTAGAAAAATGATGGTAATGACAATTCTCATAGCATTATTCAAAAAAACAATAGTAGTAGTAATATAATAAATAAATAAATAAATATAATGATAATAATATCAATAAATAATAATAATAATAATAATAGTAATCACAAGTAATAATAATAATAATAAGATTAATAATAGTAATGACAACAATATGCATGTTAAATATGTCAGGAAAAATGCAGCAAATTTGATAGCATCATGACAATAGAAAAAAAGGCGAAGAAAAAAATGGAAAAAGAATTATGTGAGCGGGAAGTTGAAATTGAAAAATTCAAGGAATCTGCACAAAAATCAGCGACAAAAATGGAAAATTTGGTTAGATCAGTACTAAATCAATAATTAAAATACTCGTAATGAGAAAATTTATATTCAAGTTGAGAAGGATATTTATTTATTTTAAGAGAAAAGTGTAATTTCTCTAGTAATTGAGATATTAAAGTACTTCTCGCTACAAGTAATTGTTGAATTTAATATCAAAAAATTAAATAAATATAAATTTAACTTTTCAATAAATATATATTATAAATATTATGAGCACATATGATTGATTGTAGAAGGAAAGCTGCCGAGAGAAAGACAAACAAATAAGTCATTTGGAAAAAAAACTGAATGAAACAATGGAAGAATCAAATGCAAATATTACTGAAATGAAAAAAATTCACAAGCAATCTAAAGACGAACTGCAAAATTGTTTGGATGAGCTGAAGAAAACATACCAAAAGTAATTTGTAATATCAACTCTAAGCTCACGTTATTAACTTTTTGTATAAAGTGTAAGTACTGTATGTTATTTATAATCAATGCATTAGTTAAAATTCTTTAAGTAATAAGCCCTAGGGATTAATTAATATCGATCATGTGAATCTTAGAATATATTTCTATTAATGCACAAAATTAAGTATGTGTTTCCAGATTAGAAGCAGAAAATAAGTCGCAGAAGATGAAACTTGAATTTTTTGAGAGGGAACGAGAGTCTTCTGTTGAATCTGATTATGGTAACTAACACTATACACTATTAATGGCTATTTCATAATGTTAAAACAATATATATACCAAGGTATTACCAAGGTATCAAGTAGTAGATTATTATACATAAATGGTATACTATATATTTTTGTGACAAACACTAATAATTTTAGAATAATTAATTACATAATCGATTTCTAGTCTAAAATATAGTAATCCTAAATACGTTCGATTAAATGATTTTATGATAATCGGAAGATCTCATATTATTTTTACTGATGTAAAAATTGGAATACATATCTAAGCAAGAAATAATATGAATCAAAAAAAGGCATCGAAATTTTGCAGTATCTGGTGGAAGACAAAGTCGATTAAATGGTAGATTATATTCTTGTAGTTCACTAGGATCTGTTGGATCAGTACGTACACTTAGCAGACGAACGGTAGAACCGGAAAGCAAATTTTCATCTGGATACCGTAGTCCTTCCATTTTTTCTACGAGCTATTATTCAGTAAACGATTTATAATTTCTAAACTTTTTTATCTAATAAATCTTTAAGTATTATTAAGATCAATACTCAGTATACAATATTATTTGATAATAAAAAAACAAATGTTAATAATCATATTCAAAAAATTTTCTGAAAAAAAAGACTGAATTTTTCTAGAGTGAACCATGTAGCAATCTTTCAAGAAGTCCATCACAAAGTCAACTTACAAATGAACGAAAAATATCACAGTTAGAAAGACAAGTTGCTTCAGCGAACACTGATGCTCAAATATTGAAGCGGGAAATTGAAGTTTATAAATCAACTTTAGCAGAAAACGGCAAAGTAACATTGTTTACCTGTTAACATATAAGTATTGAACTAAAATGTTAATAGTTTTGGATATATGCATGAATTATATAAGTTTAAAGAAATAGCCTGTCTATACTTACATACAAGAAAGATCATCTATTTTTACTATTTTTTTTAATAATTTTTCACATCAAAAAAATGCATAAATACAAATAATAATTGAAGGAACGAGATAGTTTGTCACAAAAGATACGCACACTCAATGCTTCTATTCGAGAATTAGAACAATCATTAGCGAATGAAGAGAGAAAAAATCATGAATGGGAATTACGTTTAAAAAAGACTCAAAATGAATTAGCAAATGTCCGCGATAAATATGAACAAGCAGTTAGAGATGGTCAAACAGAATTGCTTGAAGAAAGGTTTCATTTTTCGCTAAATAATCTTGATTTTAAAAAAGTTTTAACTTGTAAATGGTTTGCAGACGAAAAATGCGACTGAAAATGGATTCATTTTCGAAAACAAATGAAATACGAAAACGAGACATCAGAGAAGAACGAATTATTGAAGAGTTGCAAACGGAACTTGTTAATACAAGAACACAGCTTAACCGAGCTCTATCACAAGTAAAGTTTAAAAATTGTTAACATTACTATTTGATAATTTAGTCAAAAGTTATGCCATTTGCAAGTAATATCATATGTTTTAGGTTTCTCATCTAGAAAGTATCAACAAATCACAAGGTACATACGGAGAAACATGGGAGCACCAGTATCGAATGGCATTTCTTGAGTTGCAATCATTACGTGATGAAAATGCAAGCTTGAAAACAAAATTACGACGGCAAAATCGTGAAATTGAACTTTTGAAACGTAAGTTTAGATAGAAGAAAACAACACATATTATATTAATTATTAAACTTATATTTCTTTAAGATGCATAAAAAAATTATTCAAAATTTATAACAACAAGGTGATTTTTAAATCAAAAACTGATAGATTGTTAACTGCAGAGCAATCAGAAATGGGAGCTAATGTAGCACTATTAGAAAGTAAAATGGGAATATCCAATATGAATACAACAACAACAGAAAGTTCATGGAATTGATATGATCCATTAATTCCACTATTATTCATAATTACAAAAGTTTACATTTTTGCTGTTATTATTCTACAACTCGATCTATACCTATGATATTTACTTCAATGAAATCTTTTGTAATCACTCAAAATTTAGCATTTAAAAGAATGCATTTATACAAAATAAGAACAAAATTTCCAGCAATAATTCATTCAGGAATTTTTCAGTTTTTCACTTCATAGGGTTTATCTTAGAAATTATATGTGCTCTTTTCTTTTTGCCCTCTACAAGGGTGAAATTCTAAAAATTATGAACTCTACATCAGTAGTCCTCGATTATTTTAGACGTACTAACTGATGCAATAATAAGCAAGTAAATTTCATTTTAGTAAATATCAAGATTAGCTAAAAAATTAGGTAAATATTTGATAGCTATTTCAGTAATCCCTTTCAAGCAATACTGTCTGTTTAAACTGATTTTTTTAATGAATATTCATGATGTTTGTAGAATACTTGCTATTCATTGCTTTCATTCGTAAATATGGCGAAGAGTAGAGAATTGTTTTCGCGCTGACTTTTTTGAATTCAAATTTGATTCGCAATCACAACCATTTTGCTAAATATTTACGTTCATAGCGTAATTTAGCTCTATACTGTCTATAGAACCTTTTTCACATTAATGGCTGATATTTTTAAAATGATAACACTAGAGTAGCTGTAAAAAACCACTGCACTTATGTTGTTCACTAGTTAAATATTACTGGTATGCGGTTTTAAATTTCTTTTTAAATCACGAATAATGGATTTGTCTCTAAATTAATAATTTATTCCAAGTGATTTAATGAAATAAATGACAAATCATAATAATCTGGCTGTATTTTATATAAAATTGCCTTCACATTTTATAAAATTCTTGATTTACAGAAGAACATTCTAAGCCAATCATTTTCCTTTTCAGTAATTTTAGTTTTTCAAACATCCAACTGTAGTTGTCAATTTTGAGTCTATATTAAGCAATAAAAATCATTTTGTTTTTGTTGTTTATCATAAAACAATAAAATTTAAGCATGACGATTGTTCAGCACATTCAACAAAATGCGAGAAAAAGCTAAACAAAAAAGCAGCTTCGAAATTTTCAATTTTAACTTCAAATATCCTCAAATGATACAACTATTTCAAGAATAATGTCATCATTTATTCATATGCACAACAGCAAGAACTTCTTGATATAACAATATTGTAATCTTCACCAATAATAGATATATGATGTTGGAGCAAAAAGTATGTAGAAAATGATGAAGAAAAAACCTGTGCAATATCAACAAGTTGAGAATGAAAAGCATAACGATAAATGGTAGAACCAATAATCACAAAATAATAAAATAGAGCACTCCTGTATAATACTTGAATAAATTACTTGTCAATTTCATCTTTTCGGCAACTCAGCGTTTTGAAGGTGACAGTCAGTCTGGCAAAAGTGCCCATCTGTCACCTGTATTAACACATACCCAAGAGGCATTATTTTAAGTAATTCAGATACTAACCTCTTAAGTAGTTCAGAAGCATCGCAAAAGTTAATCTACTTTTTACTGAAGCAGGTATGTTTGTAAATGTCGTTGGTTTACATTCAAATTGCGATTTTCAGGAAACAGTTGGTTTACATTCAAATTGCGATTTTCCGGAAACAGTTGGTTTACATTCAAGTTGCGATTTTTATCAAACAGTAGGTTTATATTCAAGTTGCGATTTTGATCAACTAATTGGTCTACATTCAAATTGCGATTTTGATCAGCCAATTGGTTTACATTTAAATTGCGATAAAATATGAGGCAAAATTATTTTTGTACTTTAAATGCATTTATAGATTTTTTTTAGTAAAGGAAAAATTTCGAATTTATAAAATTTTTGAAAAATAATTCTTGTTGCTTTGCAAGTTTTTAGTATTTGTTCAATTATTTAGTTGTGAGAGTCTGCTAATAATTTTATTTCTTATATCAAAATTTTGAAAACAAAAAGTGTTCATTAAAATTATTCCGAATTTCAGTCAGTATTTTTTCTGCTCAAAATTATTTTTAAAAGAAATCTATAATTATATAAAAGTTGATAAATGTATATATTTAAGTTTGCAGTGGTAAGTTGTTTTTAAATCAGCAGATAGTACGATGATGGAAAGTGATGCCGAATTGATTAACACACATCAAACACCCCATTTCTTGTTTGGTTCCCGTACAAAACGCAGAAACTTTGCATCTCCTCTCAGTAAATTTAATCTTACGTGTATCGTTATGTTTCTATGATACCTACTTCATTTCACATTTAAAATAAGCAATTTGACGTAATTCATTCTGTGAGTAATGTAATTGGTGAGTGGTGGGTTGCATCAGTTTGTGACATAATTCCCACTTTTTGGCTTTTATTAAAGCTTGAATTTTGGTCAGTTAAAGTTTTTTAATAGTTCTGCTTACATTAATTGTATTTGCAGTAAAAGACTTATCAGAGAATGACTTATTCAACCGATTGCCTTCATTGAGGTCAGATTCATTCACAAAAAGTGGTAAGATTTTCAAAATTCTTTCAGTCACTTCAGTTTTTTTGAAGTAATTACAACACTAATTTTAAAGCGATTGTTAAAGTCATTTGTGTATTGTTTTCTTTTTATGATTGTTTGAACTAGAAAATATAAGTAAAAATTGAATAATTTTGGGGTGCAGTTTGAAGTTTCTAACTTCATGTACTACATTTTATTTGCTAAAGTGTTATTTTACTTTCAATCTCAATTTTAATTCTTTAGAAGTCTTTCACTGCTGATAATAAAATTAAGCTGGGTAAAATGCAGCGTCTTCTAGGTGATAGTCAGTCTGTCAAAAGTGTTCATTGGTCACCTGTATTAATACATTCAAGAGACATTACTTTAAGTGATTCAGATAGTAGTCTTCATATGAAACTACATACTGAAGCAGGTACGTGTGTAATTATGGTTTTTTGCTTTTTTGAAATCTCAATTCTATAACTGTTTTTAATTAGAATTCATATCCGAATGTGAATCACTCAAATGTAAAGGCATATAGGCGCTTGCATTTAGAAAATATAGACTGGAGAATCTAAAGAAGTATCCGGAAAACACTCAGAGAAGACTTTTTCACTGATCAAATTTTATTCTTATGCTTTAATGAAATTTTTGTTTCCTGACGTATTTCTGTTTGGAGCTTTGTTTTATGTGCTAACCTTTTTCATCATTTTGGTACTGTTTTAAGATCCTCCTCGTCGTTCTATTAGAGATGAATTAATATCTCCACAACTGCAGTCGGTAGATTCTCAAATCAGTGTTGGAAATGTGTCAAATGTATCCTCTAAGGAAACGCAGTTAGTTGAATATCATTTGCTTATCCTAAATTGTTCTTTCACGTGTTCGTTGAATGTTTGTTCTTGATTATATTGAACTGGTGAAAGTTTGCTACCTTTTAGACAACAAATTGCCGCTCATTGGGTAATGGTGTTTGGTTTTTCTCGAGAAGACGCATCAGATGTTCTTAAATTGTTTGGTCGGCATGGAACGATCGTTTCTCATCGAGTACATTTGATTTACTTTGTTTACTTTTGACATAATTTTCCTTCATTGTTTTTGACACACTTTTATTCGTGTTTGTAATAATCCATTTTTGAGTTTCCAAAAGAAGGTAATTGGGTTTACATACGGTATGCTTCACCTGTTCATGCTCGTCAAGCTCTTTCCCGGAATGGTCAGATTATTAATGGCCGAGTACGTTTAGGAGTACTGCCAGTTGACAGCGATGTAAAGGCTTTGTTCTAATAATTTTTTTTGATATGTCTATTGGGATTGCTGAACGGTAGCATTAATATATGTTAGTTTTGTGCCAGAGTTTGATCTTGCCGTTTTACTACACTTACAAGTTAAATATGGGTCTTGGTCTATTAGTTATTGTATCATGAGGAATATTACTAAATTTTAAGTCAGTTCTTGTAATTATCTTGTTGTCACTATTGAAATGGTTTGTATTTCGTAATTTTTATACATGTATATGTTACAGGAGATGACGAGTTTAGAAGATATTTCTCTTCATTCAGCCTCTGGAACAAGTAGTCCGGGCATCGTTTTCTCACAAAATCGATCTGTTTTATCTGAAAATTCCATGTTACCATTGTCTCCAAGCTCGGATGCGTTCTCGCGACCCTTGGAGACAAATTTTAATTCTTCTTTACTATCATCATCTACCCGTCGTGGAATTCGTTCTCTCCGTGCTCCATACTACACAACTGATAATTATTACCAGGTCTATTATTCTTTTTTTTATTTTATTTTTTTCATTATTGGAATTCATTTAATTTTTATAACCATTATTTTCATAAAAGTAGAAAATACTAAAAGTTTCGAGCTTACTAAATCGTTTTTAATGTAAAGTCGCATTGCGGTGGTATATATTCACTTTATTCATTTTAAAGCATTTTGAACTCATATGTAGATGACAGTACTGTAATATTCTTTACAGTTGAATTAGCTGGTTGACTTTAGTTACCTTTACAGGTTGATACAGATCAAATGCCCGAGAAATCTGGTGGATTGTTCAACAAATTATGGAATCTTGTTTCATAGTCATGTCTTTGAATTTTATGAATATTAGCTTATATCAAGTGCTTGAAAGGAGTTATTGAATCGGCCGCCACCGTAATGAAAGAATAGAAAATACCAGTGCGCTGTAATGTATCAGCTTCATAAAGTTGTGCAGAGTTTTTAATTAGAAAATACTTAGATCATTCAAAAATTTGTGACCACTTGTTTCGACTTCAAAGATCAATTTGGTGCTTTTGCTCCTAGTTGTGACGGTAAATTAGTTTGCAGTATAAACTATATTTGCTTTCGTTTAAGGAGTTCTAGAAAGTATCTCATTGGTAGCATTTCTTTGTTAGAACCAAATGAGATATTATTCCATGCAGCACATCACATATTGTTTTCAGTATCGTTTATTTAAAGCTTGCTCTATCAATAAGCAGTGGAACCAGCATATTTTTTACTTAGTGATGTGCCCCAGCTTGTAATGCAACTGGAATTACGGATTTTTCTCATTATACATAGCGCTTTTTGATGTTTTTTCAATGAATAAAGCTCGGAATAAGGTTGCATCATTCAAGTTCATACAGCTCATACAATTGGAATCAAATTAAAGATATTTTTTTATCATTTCTTCCTGGTACAATTACAACACGCATAAGCTAAAGTGAAGCAATTAAACTTGACTTCTGTGGTTTGTAAATTTTAAATACATCCGTCAAGTTCTTGTTACTACAATACAGGATGTCAATAGACTAACTGTTCATGATTCTTGCAGATATTTCTGTGCGATGGATTTTATTTCAAATCATGCAGGCGTTTCATTAATTCTTCAGTAGCAGTGACGGATAGCTTGGTAATCAGTAAATGGTGGGAGTTAGAAAGTGGTCACTGATAGTAAATTTGGAGGAGATTGAGATGCTTACTGCAAAAAGCACCGGCTTGTCATCATCTGATAATTTCTACGGTTTCCTTCTTTTAACACCCGAAATATTTCAACTTTTTAAAAATATAATTATACATATCAGTCTGACTAACTATTTAGACAAGATAGTGAAGAGGTTGGTTATACACAAATGGCTGACATGTCACATCTTATTTTCTCTCTTTTTGATGTTTTATTCCATCGGGAGAATGGATCATATAGTAAGTAATGTAAGGGCTTGTGCTGGACGGAAACTGCTCACATTTATGCCCATATTTTTTATTGGCTATGTTTGAAAGCATGCAAAATTCTCTTTGAGATTTGCTACTTATTTTAATTTAAATGTATGGATTTAGTACCTAAGCATGTTAACTTTTTACCAAATTTTTAATTTCTAAATATTTAGCAGTTTTTTTTTCTTTTTTTTGCAAAAATAAATTTGGATGTATTCAGATATTTTTCTCAATAGCAATTTATATTAAGGAAGTTTGGCTAGGAATACTATAAATAATACTGATGAAATGCAGTAGTTTGAAATAAAGAACTGAAGTATCAAAACGATTAGCCCATGAGTAATATGAAAAATTTGTACAAATAGTTGATTTGATTTATCAAAATGTTCCACACAGGAGAGAATGTAACAAAATTAAATCATCATGCTTCATGAATATTAACGCTTTTCTTAACTCTGCTTTGCGTTTCTGTTTTCACTTTCCAATTAAAGCATTGCCTCCTAATTTGCATAATTTTCTGCACTGTGCATCAGTTCTTATAATTTGCTGTTTGATCCTTCCTTCTTCAGTTAGCTCTTAACAGAATTATCTTCATTCCTACTTTAAACGCTTCACACCTGACTGCTTATTTTTGAACATAAAATTATTGTCAGTAATTACTTGAATTTATTTCTAACATATATTTGAAGCTTTGTTAAAATATAGGAAAGATTCAGACATATTTCAAGCAATAAGTTTTATGTAAATGCAACAAGTTAGAGTCAGAAATTTTTTTGAACTTTTGCCTATTTTTTGAAAATTTTTCATTTTGTTTTGAACTTTTTGAAATAAATATTTAGTTAATATTTCGCAAATCTAAATGCAAGGAAGCGGATTAAATTCATTAGCTGAGTACAAAATCTGCAATGAAATAGTATAAATTAGGAAAGAGATTTGGTGTTAAACATTTAAAAGCATTTTTATTATTTGAAAAATCATTATAGGAACATTTCTGAAATTGTTTGCATTAATATAGGTCAGCAGTTAATTACCTGTATCCGCAATGGAATGTGACAATGAGGCAGTGAGGAAAAAAAGTCGCATATGGAATCCTGCGTTGGATGACTGCTATGAATTGCATACTAATAGACCAGGAAGTCCCATTCCAATCAGTGTTCGGAACTGCACAGTATTTCAGGTACAAAAACAAATACATTTTCGTCATTCAAGCTTAGCACTGAATTTGAGTTATCTAATTTGCTGTCTTTTTCTGAAATTTTATCTTCTCAAGATTATAATCGGACAAGCCTGGTTTGCTTACAGCCTTGCAAGTAAAAATTTTATTGCTATTGTATTCGTATGATCAAGAAAGTATAATGGCAAAATTATCAGGAACTAATTAAAATGGCAAGAACTGTTTGTTTCTTTTAGAGTTCAAATCTGCTTAGCAAGAAAGAGGTCTCTCCATCTCATTTATTTTTTTTTGCATGTAAACAAATTTTTGAGAAAATAAAATTTCAGTAGAACTTATAGCTTTCCGATTTATCGAATTTATGGATAATCAAGGTCTAATCTTTTGTAAAGGAGGGTCTTCACAATTGAGTTATTATCTTCGAAGCTTCCTGAGTAATTGGAATTTGTTAAAGATATTTGCTTCTAGAACTATACACGTTTTATGCAACCGTGTGCTACTGTAGCGCAATCTGACTGTTCTAAAATAATACAACATGGTAATACGGCAATGTGTTTTGCACCGAACGTGCTACCTTTATCAAGTAAGTTGTCTTTTAAAACATTTAATGTTTAACCGTTCAATTTCCACTTTATAGTTAAAATTTCAGATAATAAACAATGCATAAAGTTAGTTATATTTGCTTGTGAAAAATAATCTTGATGGTCTTAGTTACTGGAGAAAGTTCTGAAAATTACAGTCAGTGTTGTTATTAGAAAGCGAGTTTCAAGCACTTATTACTGAGTCATGCTGCCGGTATGACTCAGTGTTTGATTAGAATCGCAGTAATTAATAATTTCGCCAGCGACTTTAAAAAATCCTATAAATTTGGCAAAATATTGACTGCAAAAAGTTGCAAAATGATTTTACTATTCGTATAGTTTCTCATGTTCTGTAATGATTTCCAGTGGCCTAAGAGCAAGGGATATCTGTGATTGCATAAACTGATGTGCGAATCGGTAAGAGAATAATTGAGCTGAAATTTCAGATTATCTGATGAATACAATGATGAATATGAACTTTGTGACAACAAATGTACCAAATTTGAACTGCTGTGCTGTTTGTGGTAGCATTTTTCGACTAACTTCAGATTTGGTTCAGCATATGCGTATTAATCATCGGTCAAGTCATTATTCACGAACACGAAAGCGAGTATCACAGTGATCTTTTAAAAACAGTCAAGTCATAAAATGTGTTTGTTTTTCTTTTGTGCTTTAACAGCACACAATCACCTACTAGTAATCGAATAACTAAACTTGTTTACATTCCAAATCATTGAAATAAATTTTGCGTTTCAATTTATACCAAGTGTTATGCAATATAATTTCTTTTAATTTCTTTCATTGATTTCAGAAGGGTCAATTTTTTCATCTAATTTGCTATTTAAACATGTAATCATATATCATGTTTTATCATGTTTTCACTAATGTTCTGTAAATTAAAGCGACTAAACAAGAAAACAGTTCTGCTTTGAAACTTGAGTGTGTGAATGTTACAGAAACAAATATCTTAAATAGCTAAGAAAATCTTAGTCCTCATTAAGCTTAAATTATTTGTATAGTTACAGTAGTAGCAAAACCGCTATAAATATAGTGTTTTAATGCAGTCACATAGTGTAATAATGCAATGCTATCAAAATTAATCAACTTAAAAAAAAGAAGACGAAGAATCAGAAGTAGTATGATAAATTTCTTCCATTGAAAAGTTAGTTTATGCATCACGTATAAAATCATACAAGTTGAAGGTGAATAAAATGACGTTATGGCAACATCAAAGAGACGTAATTACAGCAAGAGTGGAAATAAAGTCGAACATTGGGAAATATGCAATTAGCACATAGCCATGTCAAGAGATGTGATGTGTTTGAGAATCTAATGATTCCATATTGCACTTTGACAGAAGTAAGCGAAGCTGGATATATATGTATAAGTCAAAAATTCATATCAGCAGTATTTCAATTATTAAGATTTCAGCTTGTAAGTAGCACAAATGTGATGTACTGTTGGTACTGTACTACATTGTTTACTTGTACAGTTTAAGCATAGTTAGATTGCAAGTGAAGAAAGGAAATTTGGACAAAATCGAACTGTCTCAGATCACTATAATTTTAGGGAAATCTAATATTTCTCATGGCAGTTTAAATAACTTCTTGGGCCGTGTTAAATTTAACACAGGAGTTAATCAAAAGAGTCTAGAGCAGTAGTTTGTAAGGGGTTGTTTTATTGTCGACTATGTATTTGCTACAGTTTTATCGCTTAATTCTCTAGTGCAATGGTGAAAATGAGATAGTATACTTTTGTTGCGTCATCAATCTTTTAGTAGTTCGTTGAATACAAGTTTAGTGATTATTAATTATGTTAAGTATTAATTAAAAAATGTATACTTTTAGTGCCGAATAGCTGTGCTTTTAAATTTATAAATTTTGCATTATTTATAGGTATACTTTCCATCAGTTTTTTGTCGCTAATATGTCTATTCCTGAAGGTGATTATGAAAGAGGCAAGAAGCTATTCAAAACAAGATGTCTACAGTGTCATGTAATTGACTCAGAAGCAAATAAAAATGGTCCCACATTGAAAGGTTTGATAGGACGTAAGTCAGGTACTGTCGCGGGTTTTCCATATTCGACTGCCAATAAAAATAAGGTTCATACTTTTTTATTTTTACTCATTTAAAGGGCAGAATTAGAATTGATGTAGATAATGAATTTGTAGACTTATGCACTTGAATGTGCATATTTCATTATTTTGTTCTCATGGTTATTCATTGAAGGCTTACAGATGTACCACTTTTTTATTCATTATCAAAATATGCACCTTGATATTTGACTGGTGTAATTGGGTGCAACATATTTTTACAGTTTTATGAAAGATCAAAAAATGAAGAAACTGAGCTAACATGCTTATAAAGAGTAACCATATTTATTACACTTTATCCTTTATATTTGAGAGGTGCGAATTCATGTTTAACAGCAAATTTCCTAGATCGGTATGTTCTAGACTATTGGAGCTAGACTCCACTGTAATTCTTTCCATGCAGATATTAGTTTACATCCATTTTGTACTACCCGTAACTTTATTGCAATATATAGCATTCTGATAATAACTTTTTGACATTTTGAATATCAGTTATCTGGGAATGCTTTTCACTTTTTCATTTCTTTCTTATGTTTTTTGACTAATTGCTTATTCAAGTAAAAGTGATTGCGGTTAAATACCTGCTGTTTTTGCAAGTCATTTTTATGTCCTAGTCACATAAGAAAGAAATGCATTAAGTGTTATTTACATTATTCTCATTGCATATTAATATTGTTTCAGGGCGTAGTTTGGACGCGTGAAACATTGTTTGACTATCTGCTAGATCCTAAGAAATATATTCCGGGAACAAAGATGGTGTTTGCTGGTTTAAAAAAGCCTCAAGAGCGCGCCGACTTGATCAAATTCATAGAAGAGGAGTGCAAAAAATGAGTCATTTGAGTTTGGGTAGAATTTGAGTTCGTCATGTATTTTGTTGGTTCAGTGAATTATAGCATTGTAATGGAACTTCATTTAATTATGAATTCATGTGCCTGGATATAACTTAGGTTACCTTTTTTAAGAAATAAATTTATATGGTATTAGCGCCTTTTATATTAATATGGCTTTAGTTTCAAGGATAAGGTAGATTTTTTTAAAATTGTACGCAAGAAATGAAACCTTATAATTAATACTTCCATTAAAGGGTAAATGAGAATCTTATGATTATATATTATGTTGCTGCAAATGCATTTATCTGACATTAGGTGATACAAATCTTGTTGTAAATGCTTGCATTCGTCATGTTCTCCTTTAACTACAATGTGATAGTAGAATGACCTATATACAAGACTGTAGATTTTGATTTTAACTCCAACATTTTGATAGTTTCTGTTTAGGTGTTGACAAATTTTAGATGAAATTTCTAAATGCAACGCTCAGAATTTAACGTTCACACTCAATCTGAATATAACGTTCATTAGCGCTGTGAGAAATTTACTTCCAGGTAACCACTGTTTTCTATACTGTAAAACCAGTAAAATTAGGATATGATTTGAAGTTTCAAAAGAAAGAAGATAAAAGTTGTGACACTGCCATTTTATTCTACTGACACTGGCCTTTTAAAATAATTCTCTAAATATTCATCAAAAAATGCGGATGAGTAGTCTGCATACGTATATCTTTTGAGATATTGCTGGAAGCCGATAATGATGCAGAATGAAGAGGAAAGATTTCCTGAAGATCACAGACTTACAAGAAGGCTCGAAAATATATCACCAGCGGTCCCAATTGGTGTTAACTATTTATAATTACAGAAATGATGTATTATTGTACACGTGAATTACGAAATGTGGTTTAGAGAAGTATCTTTCTCTATTAAAGTTGAGAATAAGAATTAATTACTATGAAGATGATGAGAACTATAGTATCTTCTTATTAATTAATGGTCCGTTGGTAACTGATCATTACTACTTAAAAACGAAGTTAAAAACTAAATGTGGTTAAGTAGTTGCAGTACACTTAATTTATTCATAGCAATCCTTACAAGATGTATGCATATGTGAACAATATTAAATAAGATAAAGAATGAAACTAAATGGTTCAGTGAAAAATTTGCAGCACTTTTGATTACAATTTCAATTTAATTATGACTGGGTTATCTCTGCTCAGTCTGAATGCAAAGTAATTCTCATCCATAAAAGTGGAAATTAAGAATAAGTTTCTGATTGAAATGATAGTACTGTTTATATTGAAAAGAAATTTAAAAATTATACACGCATAGGAGTTAGAGGAATTATTGTACAAAGGAAACACAATATTACAAAATTTTTGGAAGAATGTTGGAAATAATATAACGTGAATATTAATATAAGGTGTGAGCGTGTGCTACAATGATAGTAATAATTTAAAAGTGAAAATTTGTGATAGCGCCTAGTCCAATGATCAATGAATAGTCATTGTAACATAACGAGATGTAAGACATAGAATGTTATAATCTGATGGTCGATTAGTTTAGAAGAATATTTTTAATGAACGTTAAAGATCCGTAGTAACTGAGAAATTGGAAAATTAGACTTTGAAAAATTGCAATTAATTTTATGCTTCCTAGCAAGAATTACTGTTGAAAATATGGAATTGTTAGAGTGATGTGCTTAAGCAATATATCATTATTATAGAGGGAAGAGACGCATGGGAAAGAGAACGGGACGATGTGGTCAGCATGTGGACAGCAGTTGTAGTAGCCAACCTCTTGCTGTACAGTTATTTACTCATGCTGGTCATCCAGCATTGTTAATTTAGGCGTATTATAGATCAAAAATTAGATGTATTAGTGCATAATGCTTTGATTCAGTTATGTACGTTAAGATGTACATTTCGCATGTTTTACGTAGAACGCTTATATACATATATATATATATTTGTATGTATTCTGTTCTTCGCTCTGCG